ATGTTTAGAGAGATGAATTGATTAGGCAAGAAACTAAAGGAAAATAGGAACCACAGAATAGGAAAGTAGATATATCAGCGTTTGAAGTGCTCATAAGTTTCAAGTTAAATACAATAGAACTAATAGAATGAGAGAACTCAAAGTATGAGAAACTTAGTAAAGAGTCAGGTGTTAAATGTTATGTTTCACAGTTAAAAAATAGATATGAAGTGGTATAAATAGAGCCAAGTTTTCCAGTGAGAATGACAAACATTTTAACGTTCATGTCTTTGGTCTTAATAGCTGACACACTGTCAAGAACACGATGTCATGGCACAGTGCTGAACCAGGTGTGCTTAGAGCTCAGATATACCTGGTCTGGATGCTGGCTCTGCCACTGACATTGGATCTTGGGGGAAATCAGCCTCTGAAATCATTTTCCTCGTCTGCAACTGGAAATAATGGCAGTTTCTATCTCATAAGGTTTTAGTAAGAATTCAATGAAATTATGCATATTAAGTGTCTAATAAGTCTATATTTGGTAAACATTTTATAAATATTAGCTTTATTATCATTGTTGATGTTATTAATTTTGTACAATATATTGTTAACATTTTAAAGAATGCTTTTTAAATACTTTCTCTCTGTGTTGTTCTTCTAAATTACAGTAGCATCCTAATGACTGATATTGATTAAATGAAGAGGAAAATTTTAATTCTGTAGAGCTTACTCTAAATTAAATAAAACTATTTACAGCCTAGGCAGTCTAAGAGAATAAGGTAGAGGAAAAAATAAAACATAATCTTTTATTTGTGTGAGAAGATATTCAGGTGATTATTTTTATCATTGTGTGATGTTTCCAGATTCTTTGCAAAAATAAAACATAGGGAAGATTTTCATAGTAACTCCACTCTGAAGAGTTTTTCTTTGGAGATTCAAATTGCAATTAAACTGGAGTGGATAGAAAAGTCCGTGGCAGATGCATTGCTGCTAACCACAGGTGTCAGAGTGTTCTGACTACACTGGAAATCACTGTGGACAGAAAATTGTAAAAGACCGATCTGTCACTCATTTAATGTATGTTATACCCAGGGTAGATGTAACCTTTATAATTACTTATAGAATTTTATCTAATGGGCCTGACGTGGTGGCTCATGCCTGTAATCCTAACTTTTTGGGAGGCTGAGGAGGGAGGATTGTTTGAGGCCAGCAGTTCAAGACCAGCATGGCTAACATAGTGAGACCTCAGCAAGAGGGGTTTAAGTAAACTTACACTTGGCAAATACCCCTTTCTCTTTTGCTTGTTGCTAGGCCCTTCATTGGCCAGCTTGTCCTTCCTCATCATTGCACCAAACTTTTCTAACAATTAGAGTCATAAGACATGAGATTTGGGTAATTTAGAGAGATAATTAAGCCAGTTGCCTGCTTTGACCTCTAACATTAAAATCCAAAGGAATTCAGATGATCTACAACTCAAAAAAAGAATTTTGTGCAATTCATTATGGAGATGTATATACACAGATATAATAACAGCTTTATTGAGATAATTTACGTAGCTTAGAGTTCATGAATGTATACAAATCCACAGTTTTTAATGTAATGGCGGAGTTGTATAACCATTACCATAATCACAGATGACCACATATTATATGTAACTGGGGTGAAGCCTCCAGCTGGTAATGACCAAGCATTGTTCCTCTGCCTTGCTTTGGCCACTGCCTAACCCCTGGAAACTGGTGAAAGGGTGGTCCAGCACCAGATATGTTACCAGACAGGCCTGGGACTGTAGGTAATGAATGAATATATATTCACAAAGATGTATATACAGATACATTTATAGACAGGAAAATGTCCCACTTCCTCTCATTTTTTTTACAGTCAGTTGACAACTTTACTGGGTAAAATGTTAAGTGGCAAAAACGTTGAGAAGAAATGTCCCTTTTCTGCATTTCCCTCAGGCATTCTGGAGGAAAAATGCACACAGCACACATTCATATTTGGTATTTTCTGCAGGTAATTATTCATTTTAAATATTTAAAAATTTTCTCTATTTGTAATTTTTGTGGGTACATAGTAGGTGTATATATTTATGGGGAAAATGTGATGTTTTGATCCAGGCATGCAATGTGAAATAAGCAGGCACAGACAGACAAGCATCACATGTTCTCACTTTCTTGTGGGATCTAAAAATCAAAACAATTGAACTCATGAACATAGAGAACAGACAGATGATTACCATTTTAATTATTTCTTACACACATAACTCACTTTATGTGACATGAGGAATTATGCTTAGGTTAACTAATTCTGAATTATGACCTTTACTTATTTGGAAATAATACATGCTATTAGCTTTGATTTCAAAAAATCAGAAGCTATCTTTTAAAGAGTTCTATCCAGTTGTGCCTGCTTAATTTTATTTTTGAGGAAATTTAAGTTCCAATGTCAATGTAAGGTTGTCTAATATTACCAACATTTTTTGGTAATATTATTGCTTTTTGCTAATATTATCACTTTTTCCATGTGATAATGGGAAGTTTTTTTTCTTATTGTGATAAAAAATTTTTATCAGAAAAAAATTTTTCATCTTTCAAAAAGATAGCTGGCCACCAGTTCATTCTTAAAATATTAGTTCAAATACTGCATAGATTTGAACTAAATATCTAATGGATAGTCCTCATCATTGCACCAAACATATTACTTACATTCTATTTACCAGTTCAACACTAGGAAATCTAACTGCACAGTCAATAATAAAACAAAATACGATAATTTTTAAATATAGAAAATAGAAAATCTACAAAATAACCTTGAAAATTAACAAAAGTTTGTCATTAGCATTTATTTCGCAATGAATCTCCTTTCAGATAAAACTTGTATTTATTTACTTATAAACAAATTATTATCATTATTGAAATTTTTGTCTAGAAGTGTACTTATCTAGCATTGTTATTTTGTGTGTTTCTTCTCAAAATACCAACCAATATTCTCTGAAATGAGAATTAAGATCTCTCCAAGGATATAAAACAGAGGCTGAATGGACTTTGGAGTCAGATGGAGCTAAGTACAAATTCCAACTCTAGTGCTCACTACCTGTGTGATGTGTACATATAAGGTATTTGACTTTTCTATGCCCTAGAATTCTCACCTGTACAGGAGAATTTCTATAAAGGGCAAAAAAAAAATTAGATATTTATTAAATGCCTGGAAAATAGGAGATGTTAGGTACATAAATCACCCTCATATATGGAGTGGATAGGTGCCTCAGATGTATGCAGAAAAGAAAGGTTCTGTTTCAGCTCTTCATTTACTTTTTTATTCAACAGACAGTTATTGAGCGCCTACTATTTATCTGGCACTAATCTAGGCTCCAGAAGACAATACTAAAGAAGTCAGCCCTGGTGCTTCTCTTTTTTTGAGGTTTTTCAATGTATTTACATGAGAATAGCTCTTTTTTCAGCTTTTTAAAAGACAAGATGTAAAATATCTTGGCTTATTTTGTAAACTATTTTATCTAAGGTAATATTTTACCTGGTCTATTATCCATAGTGTCTAACAGTTTATCAACTGTTCAGAGCACTAAGTGGGATTCAGGAAAGAATATGGGCTTTGAAAACAGACAGAGGGTGTTTGAATCCCAATTCTGCCTTGTGACCTTGAACAAGTTACTGAGCTGTTTCAAATTACTATTTCCCTATCTATCAATTAGGTATAACAACCATTCAATAGTAGTTTTGTAAGGTCTAAGAGCAATGATGTAGTAAAAAAACATAATGTCTGACTTACATTAGGTTTTTAATCAATGGTAGCTGTTATAATTATTTATTAAAATACCTGTTTTAATTATTTATTAAAATACCATTATACCACTTTAATAAATGGTAGTTGTTATAATTATTTATTAAAATACCTATGATTTTTATCATTTTTAACAACATGGGTAATTGTTAATTAAAACTCATAGGAAGTGTACAGCATATCATAGCAATAAGTATTCATTTATTCTCTTTATTTCCTTGCCATAGTCTTCAAAGCCCAGGACACCATCAGTCCTGTAACCCATAAAGCATTCCTGAAGGGGTAATCTGATTTGGAGAAATATAGAAACAACAAAGGTAACAATGCTGATATAGAATGATATAAAAAATACAGAAGTAACAATGACAAATATATATTGAGTGCATATCATTTGCTGGTACTTGTTCTAACATAGTATCATTATCTCTTCATTCCCATCTAAGGTCACTCTAAAGCCTGCAATCTTGAAGACTGTACTCTAATGATCTCTAACAAAAGAGATGACATCCTGGACTGAGAATTGTGAGTGGCCCATCAGAATGTTTGCTGAGCCAGATCCAGTAACAGTGGAAAGAAAAAAAAAAATAGCACAGGTCTCTGGAAAATTGATACCCCATATGAGCAGTCTAATTCTGCATTAGTTGTTCAGAAATATAACCTTAATAAAAGGTCTGAGAAGTGGTAATTTTTGTCATTCTTAAATCATCCTTTGAAAATAATTGCCTTTCAAGATTGAACTCCCTTCAGAATAATAAAGGCAAACTTTAACAGGTTAAAAAGACATAGAATCATTATGTTCCTTTTCAATAGAACTATTAAGCATTTCTTTAGAATAAAACAACTCATTAAAAAGGGCACACTGTCCTTTTATACACCAATTTAATCATCTAATCAGTTTAGTGTCCCAAAAAGTATGTAAATACTACTTAATTTACTAGTCAAGTTGGCTTATGGAAATTACTACTTAGCATGATTGCCTCTGGATAAAGAACAAACAGGTAGGGAAAAAAACATCGATTTAATAAGGTCGTTTCACCCTTCTGGAGTGAGACTATCAAAAACATGTCTAGACTAGTAAATTATGCAACTGAGCAAAGATTCTTAAAAAGCATTCCAATTATCATTTTAAAAGTCCAAAGAGTTTTCTGGGTTCTTTAAGTAACCAACCCTTAGAGTGTCTATAAAGCTGACCAAAATATCAGCATTTTAAATTAGTCTCTTACCCTTTTCAAATGCTCCTGTATTTTGGACTCCACATCTTGGATGTGTGAAATCATTTTGTTGACACAAGGTGCTGGGATGTTTACTACGGCACAGCTGTGACGTCGGCATGGGTAGCTAAAGTAAATGCCTTTATTCACCCCTAAAGAGAACAAACGGAAGAAGCTCATTACTCATTCTATACAAAGTAGTAAACCTTGATGTTCAGAATAAGCAAAAAATATTCTGCTTTATTAGTGCTAATACTCTTAAAGTTTCCTTAATAGGTTGATAAATCTGTCAGAAAATTATAGAACAAATCTTCAAAAAATGAACAAGCTAAAATAAAATAATCATTTATGATCTAATTCTGTAACAAATAAAAATGAACCCGAGAAGCTAAAATAAAACTTCAAGCAAAGTTAAAAAACATAGCATCATGAACTAAACATTGGAAAAAAATGAAGAAAAAGAAGGCAGAAAAATCAGTTGACCCATGTGTTACTAAACAGATTCTGAATCCCTTAAAAATAACTTTGAAATATATTTTAAATATTCCCTTCAAAGAGATGCCCTCTTCCAATGTAAATAATATCCAACTACTCATGCATTGAAGTTCTTCCTTAAATCCAGCATGAGTTTCTGTTGCTGAAAAAAATAAAAGCAGGTCTCCTTCATCCTCATAATAACCTCATTTTCTACCTTCCATTTCTGAAAATTGGAGTCTCATGCGAAGAGTGATTGATGTTCTCACTATAGTATTCAAGCTGTACTCATCATAAAATCTACTCAGTCCGATGTGCCTCACTGATTCTAATCCTGGCATGTCCCAAATCGACTGAAGGTTGCAGAAGCACAGCAAAGTTGTCCATGAAACTCCACCAAAGTGCTTACTTGCAGTCCTTTTGACTCTAAGGACTCTATTTGGCTGGATTATAGTTGCAATCACTGATCTTAAATTTGGAGACGCAAAACATGCTCAGCGCCTCAATGAGAACAGTGTGATGTCCTCATTTCAATTGACCTTGAGGGAACAGAGAACTAATCCTGTTGTGTTTTGTTTCAATGCCAACCCACAGAGATGGTAAATATATTTGGTATCTTCATTTAAACTGCAATCTTTTAAATGTCTTTTAAATGAAGCCTTATAATATCTTCCTCTAGAAACACAACCTCTTGTAAAAATGGCATGTTTCATTTATAAATAAAACTGTTCAGTCTATTCTATAATGTTCAACTCTCTCTCGTGTGTGTGTGTGTGTGTGTGTGTGTGTGTGTATATAACAGTGACCTTTTTACGGCACTAAAAATATGTGCCAGACATAAAGCTAAGCTAAAAATTTTTGATGCCACATTTTTTAATCCCACAACAATCTTATAAAATGGGATTATTATTTTGATTTCATAGATGAGGAAATCAAGGCTTAGATAAATTATATAACTTGTCTAAGTCTATGGAACAGGTAGGTAGGAGAACTGAGACTTGAACTAAATCTCTCTGGCTGTGGAGTATAAGCTGTGAAGGCTGTTTTTATATTTTAAAAGTACGGCAAAATAAAGAGAAATAGTACTAAAAATATATTTCAGGGCATCCTAAATGTTTTGCTTGTTTTTAAATTTTGAATGTTCCTTCATAATATCAGTGCTGGTATCCTATGTCTTTTAGTTTGCTTTGACCATACTCTGAACACATATACTTGCTATAATGATTTTTTTTGTGTTACATTCCATCTTTCCTCTTTAGTTCATAAACATGTCTATCTATCTATCTATCTATCTATCTATCTATCTATCTATCTATCTATCTGTCTGTCTGTCTATCTATCTATGTATCTATCTCTCTGTAATAGTCAAAAGACCAAAAGAACAAGCTAGTAAAAATTACATATTGATCTCCTATCCAAATATCTTGATAAGGGCATGTTGGCCTTCCCTTTAGAAATAAGAAGGTTTTGATACACATTTAACCAACAAGCTGTCACTGTTACAGTTAAAACATTTGTTTTGCTTCAATAAATGTGGAGAAAACAAGAATAGTAATGATTCCTTTTATATTTTTCCTGACTGTGCCACTCTCAACCTATTTTGTGAATACTAATTAATTTCCATAGCACTCCTACGGTTTAGGTTGAATATGTAACATATGGTAAAGTAATGGGAATGATGTACTATGAACTTAAATTTGCACTAAAATCTGTAAAAGACATGACATCCTAAGTAGCACAAGATTGAACCAAAATTCAGTAGTTCATGTCATTCTTTTTATTCCATTGAAAGTATGGCATGTTAAAACTTTGAATTTTTAAGAATTTTACCCAGTTTAGGGTGACAGCATGATATAATCAAAAGACAGCTGAACTAGATGTCTGTATTTTCTTGACTGAATTGATAACTAGCTGTACATCTTTAGCTAAAACTATTCAGTCTTTAGGTCTCAGAATTCTTAATAAATTAATGTATTGGTAAGATGTTATATATTTTTCACCTGAAATTCCAAACATAAATTGAGGGAGCTCTTCCTTGTGAAGCCTGTGCACAATGGTCAGTATGAGTATATAAAGAATTAAGTTCAGGCAAGACTTCATCCTCTCTAAACATGCCCCTGACTGCAACTTCCTTGCCCAGAATTAATGCATAAAAGACAAGATCCTCCTGGCTCCAAGCCAGAGTTGAGGTTTGCTGAGACTGTGCAACAGGAAACTTCCATTTGAGAAAAAATATCAACTAGCTGTTTGTGTGGGCAAATGAAATAGAAAGACTATGTTTATAAACTGTCAACTCTTACTACTCAATGAATTTGATTCTTATATAATTTATTCACCCAGCTCCAATAATTTAACATGTTATCACAAGAGTCCTTCCTTTTCTTCTGCTTTTTATATGTGCTTCCTTTATGTATGTTACCCCAATTATTCTATCATCCCTTTATCTCAACTCAGAACGCTTAGGAAAAACTCTGGTGAACACATATTTCCTTTTCACATTATTATCCCTTTTAACATCTTGGTTTTCTTTCCAAAATGTAACATAAGTCAGTGCTCTTGAGGTTAAAAATAATTTGTCCTCTATGCAAAGACTCTTTCATGATGAACATAAAGCATCTTTCATCTTTTATGGAAAACAAAGATCTCTTTAGCTTTTGTTACACATGACAAAAATAAAATCACCTTTCACTGACATTAGAGTTATTACATTTTCATTGGACCTTACACTGTTGGATACATTTATCACTAAATATCTAGAATAATACACATGGACTCTCAGAGTCGGAAGTGGCTAAAAACTGCTTCTACTCTAACCTTAGTCAATATGCAATGCCCCTGATCGGTGTTCACTTACTGCCAATTTCTTCTCTTCAAAATCTGCAACTTCAATACAATTTTTTTACTTGCCTTGTGGACTCAGGTCTCCCCACTACCTTGCCTGACCACTTCCTAAAGCTATTATTCTATATCAAATTTTGCTTTGACCAGCAATTTTTTGAATGAACTGTTTATACTGGCAGCTGCAATATCCTCATCTGATCTCTTCTTCAAATTACAATTGATATACAAATATTAAGATCCATCTTACATGGTTCCTTGCCTGTAAGGAATACTCAACTCTTTCAGACGTGTGAGTGCACCTACACCACTTTTTATTTCTCTCTATAAGAATGGATCACATTGCATTCTGCTGTTACTACATTTATGTTTTCCTATCTATCTTCCCCATGAAATTTTCCATTCTTTCTAGAGAACAACTATATTAAGTGCCTTAAATGATTATCGAATAAATGAATAAACAAATCCTCTATAATTTTTTAAATTTTTTACCTGGCTATAATCCGATTTTTGTTCTATTCATGAAAACTTCATTCTTACATCCCACTAAGCAGTATATCAACTGCCATCCATGAAGGAGTAACTGATATGGAATTAGTTCTCCAGTTATAAGCAACTCTAAATCTGGATTTCAAAATATGAGACAACTGATTTTGGACATCGAAAAATGGGCAGTTCAAGGTTTTTATTTCTGAGAAAAGGGAAACTGATAAAGTGGAGTCCCACAATCACCAAGCTCTCTGCCAAGGGACAATTTCCCAACTACAATAAAGAGATCTGGGAGCAAAAGAGAGCACAGTAATCCCGCTGAGTTGAAAAGCAAATATGAGTTTCATGGACAGTGGAAGCATCTGGAAGAAGGCAGGAACTCAAGAAGAGAGAGCAATGCAGAAAGGAGCCTCAGAAACACATGTGAGAGGCCCCTCTGACATATGGCATAGAATCCCTGACCAATAACTTCTACCCAGAATGTGCAGAGAAAATTCACAACTTAATATTCAGAAAATAGGCATAAGGCTTGGACTCTTCACAAAAGACAATATACAAATGACTAATACAATGTGGAAACATGCTTAACATTGTTAGTCATCAAGAAAACGCAAATTTAACTAACAGTTCAATACAATTTCACACACACTATAATGCCTAAAATTATAAAGGTTGGCAATGCCCTGTATCAGAGAGGATACAGAACAACTGGAATTGATACATTGCTAGTGGAAATGTAAAATTGTTTAAACACTTTGGAAAACAATTTGACAATTTCTTATAAAAGTTAAACTTACCATAGGACTCAGCGTTCCTCTTCTTTATATTTTCCCATGACAAATAAAAATATGTCCACAAAAAGAATTGTAGGTGAATGTTCATAATAGCTTTCTTGATAATAGTCAAAAATTGAAAAAAATCTCAAATTTCCATTAAAGGCTAAATAAATTGTGCAATATTATTGATCAATAAAAATGAACAAGCTACTGATACATGCAACAGCACGGATCAACATTAGAGACATTTTCCTGAGTCTGAAAAAGTTGGACACAAAGAAGTGGCATAATTTCATTTATCTGAAATGTTAGAATGGTAAAACTAAAATCATACTGGAGTTGTGGGAGTGAGTGAAAGTAATCTTGTCTATAGAGGGGGCATGAATGAACTTTCTGGAAATATGGAAATTTCTATACAGTGTTTGAGGTGGTGTTTAAATGGATGTGTATGTCAAAAGTCATTCACTTGTACACTGTAAATGAGTGGATTTTATTGCATTTAAATTGTACCACCATACATCTGCTTTATGAAAAAGACATCTAAGCATATCCTAGTGACAGAGCTCAATAATCTT